TTCTCCAGCACAAAGCTTGGCACGAATCGAACGCCATCTGGATGCATCCAAAGCAACTATAGGGAGGATCAAACTCTCTCTGCGAATTTGCAAGGGAGGATTCCCTGCTGTTGCACGAAGGCTTAATGTCTTGCTGAACAATCAGTCGAACGGGATAAAGGTCAGAATAGGAGGACTGGAAGTTAAGACATGGTTTGGAGGCCTGACAACTTCCTCTTCAGGATTACGGTGGAAATTCAGGTAGCTCGCATCAGCCCCTGCGGAATCACATCACTTAATGAAATGAACTCCCATGGCTGTTGCCGAAGCCGGTTCAGCCCACCTCTGTAGACTCATCAGCAGAAAAGCAAGGCTTAATGGGGTTCGCTGATTAGATAACAACCACGGTGATATGACTGATTGGGTTAGACAGGCTTGGTTGAAAGGGGCTGCTGGGGTTAGACGTTCATCACCTAGCAACAGTAAGCTTGATCACAAGACAAGAGTCAACCAGCTTTTTAAATGTAAATATGTTAATTTGCAAGTCTCATTCCACTTCTACTACAAAGACGTCACAGCTGGATATATGATGCAGATGCCATTTGGCCTTTTCTTTTTAAGTTCAGAAATTTCTTGAAACACTGATATCCTGATGGCACTTAGCTCATCCAAAAGGGAAATTCTATTTATCCATTATGTATATGTACACTACTATTCAGTTGGTAAGATAAAAAAAATAAATGTTTACTTTGATTTAGCAAGCATGAATTAAATTACATTTAATGATCAAAAATGACATTTATATTACACAAGATTTAAATTTCACATAAATGCTCTTCTTTTGAGCTTTCTATTCATCAAACAACCCTGAAAAAAAAAATCAGTTTCCACAAAAATATTAAGCAGCACAACGGTTTTCAAAATTAATAATAATAAATGTTTTCTTGAGCACCAGATTAGCATATTAGAATGATTTCTGAAGCATCATGTGACAGTGAAGACTAGAGTAATGACTGCTGAAAATGTAGCTTTCCCATTACAGAAATAAATGACTGTACATTTTAAAATGTATGTGAAAATAGAACACTTTT